ATACACGTATACAGACATACATGCACACACACAGACACACACATACACGTATACAGACATACATGCACACACACAGACACACACATACACGTATACAGACATACATGCACACACACAGACACACACATACACGTATACAGACATACATGCACACACACAGACACACACATACACGTATACAGACATACATGCACACACACAGACACACACATACACGTATACAGACATACATGCACACACACAGACACACACATACACGTATACAGACATACATGCACACACACAGACACACACATACACGTATACAGACATACATGCACACACACAGACACACACATACACGTATACAGACATACATGCACACACACAGACACACACATACACGTATACAGACATACATGCACACACACAGACACACACATACACGTATACAGACATACATGCACACACACAGACACACACATACACGTATACAGACATACATGCACACACACAGACACACACATACACGTATACAGACATACATGCACACACACAGACACACACATACACGTATACAGACATACATGCACACACACAGACACACACATACACGTATACAGACATACATGCACACACACAGACACACACATACACGTATACAGACATACATGCACACACACAGACACACACATACACGTATACAGACATACATGCACACACACAGACACACACATACACGTATACAGACATACATGCACACACACAGACACACACATACACGTATACAGACATACATGCACACACACAGACACACACATACACGTATACAGACATACATGCACACACACAGACACACACATACACGTATACAGACATACATGCACACACACAGACACACACATACACGTATACAGACATACATGCACACACACAGACACACACATACACGTATACAGACATACATGCACACACACAGACACACACATACACGTATACAGACATACATGCACACACACAGACACACACATACACGTATACAGACATACATGCACACACACAGACACACACAGACACGTATACAGACATACATGCACACACACAGACACACACATACACGTATACAGACATATATGCACACACACACACACACACACGCACACACACACACACACACACACACACACACACACACACACACACACACACACACACACACACACACACACACACACACACACGTACACACAAACACACACATCCAGACATGTATTTACGTAAACTGCTCCTACTCATAACGAATTTACAAAAATCAACACACAAGATGGCGCACTGACCCCAGCCATCCTAAGGTTAGTAACTTTTCAAGCCTCCTACGACAATAATCCCTCCCCCCTCCCCCCTCCTCCCCCCCTACTCACGCACGCCCACGATGAGGGTGAGATATCCTTTGATGAAAGGAGAAAAAGGAGAGAAAGAAGAAGAGATAGGAGTGGCTTTAGGATTGTTAAGAGGTGGGTGGGGGAGGTGGGGGGGAGGAGGAGGAGGAGGAGGAGGAGGAGGAGGAGGAGGAGGAGGAGGAGGAGGAGGAGGAGGAGGAGGAGGAGGAGAAGAAGAAGAAGAAGAAGAAGAAGAAGAAGAAGAAGAAAAAGAAGAAGAAGAAGAAGGAGAAGAAGAAGAAGAAAAGGTAGAAGAAGAAGGAGGAGGAGGAGGATGAGACGAAGAAGAAAGAGAAAAAGGAAGAGAAGGAAGGGACAGGAGAAAAATTAGTAAAAGGAAGGAGAGAGAATGACTGAAAAGAGAGAAAAAAATACAAACCTCGTAAAAAAAAATAATAAATATGCTGACTCATACTTCTTCGCTTTCAAATAATTCCTTTGACAATGTTATTGGAAAATAATATTGAAATTGAATTATCCTGAAAATCTTTTCCAGTTCTAACCGAGCTTAATCATGCAATATACAATATGAAACCAAAGTCATCCACAATATTGTTAAAAATCGAATAAGATAAATTGATTAAAAAATAATAAAGAGATAAGAAATTAATGATAAAGATAGAGAAACGCGAACCATGATAAAGGAACAATTGATAAAAAAAATAAATTGATTAAAAAAATAATAAAGAGATAAGAAATGAATGATAAAGATAGAGAAACGCGAACCATGATAAAGGAACACATAAAAAGTATAGCAAAAAATGGAATATGATTAAATAAACACAAAGAAATACATAAAAAGAAGAAAAAAACGGAATTTCCAAGTCATACGGTGAAAAAGATGATTTTCCGTTTTCTATTGTCCTGGCAAATCTTAAGTCATTCTTAAGAGCAGAGACTCGTCATTTTTTTTTCTTTTCTTTTCTTTTCTTGTGCTCGTCTCCTCTTGTTTATTTTGTGTTTGAATGTGGACAGCTGTGAGGGGATCTGTAGAGTCTGATGATAAAATTATTTTTATATGAAGTGGAATATATATATATATATATATATATATATATATATATATATATATATATATATAT